GGGGGGGGGGGGGGTGCAGGAGAGGGAAGGTAGAGAGAGAGAATGCCTACTTGCATTGCACTTCACTGGCCATCTGGAGGTCTGAGCTGGAAGGAGGAAGTCGGTGCACAGGCATGTTCCCTTAGCTTGCCCGGTTGGCTTCCTGTGCACTCCGGGTGATTACTGTGTGTTTGGGGGGTGATTCCATCGGAAGTGTGTGCCCAGGCATGAACCTAAAACTTGTCCTGCTGGCTGTTCTGCACTCTGGGTGAGGGCTGCCAGTGGCACATGGGGTGATTAGGGTGTGCCCAGCTACACCCTGTGAGCACGCCTATGAAGTTAAAGCAATTCTGTTGCTGCTTTGTTGGCATCATCTTCAGCGTCTGATACTCTACCAGAAGTGCCGGATGCCTGTGTCTCGTGCTGGCTGCAAAGTCACTTCCAGCATACAGTAGTGATGGCAATACACAAAACTGTAGAGTCCTTTTTAAACTCAAAAGATGAAGTCTATGCACACGAGAGGATGATGTCACTGCTACTTTTACAATGTAATATGGAGGTTTGCATAGACATTTAGAGCACATAAAGTGGATTTATATTCTTGTCACTATTAAAGAATACATTTTAATTAAAATGGTCGTGCCTCTCTCTGCAATAGAGCATTTGTGTAAGTACACTATAGGTTAAGCTATTCAACATCAGGAACTCATTTTTTGGGTGTGCCGCCTCTCTAAACAGTGTGGGGGTAAACGTGCATGCAGAGCCAAATTTGCCAGGGAGCAGAGGAGCGGCAGGTAAGTTCCCGTCCCCCATCCCTGTCAGGAAGTTCTCGCCCGCTCTCCCCCGTAACCCCCCACGCCTACCTTTTAATGCCGCCGGACAGCCGCAAATCCTCTCTGGATGGAGTAGACTGTGAGGGGAGAGCAGCCCTTCATCTCAGCTGTCACAAGAGTTCTAGCTCTAGTTAGACACGGGCAGCAACCTAGGTGTGTCTAATCGAGCGAGAAATACGGTATTTAAAACCGATAAGGCTTCTATTGCCTTTAGTTGTTCCCTCTCCCTGTACACTGTCTACATGCCATTATATTCATAGAGGGAGAAATTTGCTGTATGTGGGTGTGTGTTTTGTAGGTGTATAGCCACCATCTGAAGGAACTGCTGCCTTCTGCTAACCACAAGAGGGCAGTTACGTGGCCAGAAATGTCTACGCTAATGCTTGCTAAGGGACATGTTTTAGCCTAAGTTTAAGTTCAAAGCACATTTCAAAGAATTACTCTGGACATAATAAGAATTAACCCTTCGCAGTGCAAGGTCTAGCTTGTTTGGTCTAGGCTCCAAAATAAAAGATACTTACCCGATCCTCGGACCCACAGCTACTGTTCACCACATTCCCATCCTCTCCCCCCCCCCCCCTGTGCACACACACACACTACATTCCAGCTGTGGAGTGTCCCTCGGTGTCCGTCCTCATGTCCAGTGCAAGTGAACGGGTGTGATGTCGCATGTCTGTAGACTGCTGGAGCCCGGGGGAGAAGAGGCTGAGGAGACCGGTCTAGCAACTAAGCGGGACCGAAAAGAGAGAGAGAGAGTGTGTGTGTGTGTGTGTTTATATTTTAGGAGCACTTAACTCTTGCAGTGAGGGAATAGCTCCACTGCAAGGGTTATTTTTATTCTGCCTGGTGTTCTTCTTTAGGACAAGAGAAAAACATTTTTGGGAAGTAAGGTTGTGGCTTTGGCTTTATACAGTATCCTCTCAGTACCATATCTTGGCATATACAGTAGTTAATATGTTCAATAGAATAAAGAACAAACATGGCTGGTTACTTTCTCATTTTGTTCCAAACTCAGCTGTACCAGTTGGAAGTAGTCCCTTATTGGCATTAAGTGAGTATGTAGTAAGAGGGTGTAACGGGTCCATTATCATTTGTAGCAGTAATAGGCAAGATAACTTCTTTGGATTCAGTTCTGAGTGTTCACCGCTTTCAATGATCGCAAAAGGAGAGGGTGCACCGAGGGAGTACAGGGAGGAGGAAGGACAGATGGTGCCGGAGGGTTCACCGTTCATCACTTGTTCTCCTACATAAGCATGTTGGCCAATTATCCCGGGAACCCCCAATTCAGACACTAGGTAGTGGCCCAAAAAAACAACAAACACACACGCTGCCACCACACACAAGGGCAAGGTTCCTTACAAGCCTATAAATTTGACACTTTTGGCCAGCACACTCTGCACTCCAAACAGTTTTTATAGACCACATACACTGCTCTCACTAGCCGTTACAGATTTGGTAAACCAGTCAATATTACCTCATTTGAAAATTTTTTCCAAATCAGCTTTGTTCTAGATTATTCACTGCTCCTGCCTTATCCAAACTTTTCACCCTTTTGTGAATAGCCCAGTTAGTATTAGTACGATAATACACACTGAGTGTCATGCAATACCACTAACTGCCACTGGAGGGAGACTTACCACAATTTGGCTGGCTGGACCCCCACAGTACCATAAAAGGATCCAAATAATAATGTCCCTATACATTTTATTAAAGCCCACATGTGTGGAACAAGCTATTATTGGTGCCCCCACATTGTTACCAAGGTGGGAGTTCTAAGATATTACCCTTTTTCAGATTTCACACAGGTGCCAATTGAGATTTTACACCTAGTCTGAGATAACTTGGGATGTAGACAGCTAGAGTTTTCAGGGAGGGCACAAAGTGCTAAATGAATCCCGGCCAGGCAGGTATACACTTTAAAGAAGAACTCCAAGCAATTTTTTTGACCCTAGCAGTGGGGCTACCCTTGCATTGCAAAGGTGAACTGCCTGATTTGGTCTAGGGAGAAAAACAAAAGGTTTACTCACCCGAGCCTCCGGGCCAGCCGGCTGTTACAGCACTCCATCCTGTCTTTCTCATCACTAAACTTGATTATGGTATGACCTTGGCACTCTCACATCCTATACACTGTGTATAGAATGTGATGACTCAGGTACCTTAGACTGGTCCTTGCAGCCTTGCTCCCCCTCCGCTGCAGCAGTCTAACAGCAAGCCGGCTCGGAGGATTGGCTGAGTATAACATTTTTATTTTCCTCCCTAGGCTAAAACAAGCAGTTCTTCTTTAAAGTTGGTTTAGATGAATGTTTTTTTGAGTTTGCAACACCAGGATCATAACTTACCTTTAATGAAGCGTGCCCCATGTCTTGTTGACTGCAGCTTAGTGTACCAATCTTCCCTCCATTGAAGCCGGATACTCCCACAGCCCTGATCTTCCTGTGCTGTGGCGGCCTGAGATCAGCAACTGTGAATCATTGGTGCTGCTTGCACTTCCCTTCCTTCTGTCTCACTCCTTCACAGAACCCCCAAAAAGCAAAGTATTCTGTGAATGGAGGATGGGTGGATGAATGACAGGCTCCACATCCTCCAATCACAGGTTTTGAATTATGTGAAGAATACTACTAAGTGCTGTTAATGAGGGAGAGAGAAGGGGAAAGGAGGGCAAGCAGAAGTGACAGTTCACAGTTGAGGCTGTTGATCTTAACTCCTGCAGCACTAGATGATCAGCACTGTGAGGAGTATCCAGCATCAATGGAGGGAAAATGTCTTCACTATGCAACAGGAAATGGGACAGTCCATTAGAGTAAAGTTGTGATCCTGGTGCTGCATATTCCGACTACCCATCTAAAAACCTAACGTGGCGGCTCCTCGAGTTTGTACACATGTGATGTCAGCAGCAAATTTTATACATCTTTTTTCATTTGGCAGGTGGTGCTTTTTGCCAAACACAACCATTGCAGTCAATGGGACCACACTACTTGGCATGCAGTTGTAGTATTGCAATGCAACATAAAGGCACTTGAATTAGGGGCATAACTAGAAATCACAGGGCCCCATAGCAACATTTTGTATGGGGCCCTGTGATGTCTAGTTATACCCTTTACAGAGCCCACGTGAGATCTCACCTGAAAGTGACCCTGCAGAGCCCACCATAGACTCTCTATGATGGGTTCTGCAGGGTCTCAGGTGGGCTAGTCACACCCCTGCACACCTCTTACCTGTCAGCCCACATCCGCTATCAGCCTCCTCCACTGCTGGGCCCTGCCTCCTCCACGGCCGGGCCTGGCCTCTTCCTCCACGTACGGGCCCCGCCTCCTCTGCTTCCGGTCCCCAGCCTTCTCCACCGCAGCTGCTAGCTGTCACTGACTCAGCAGTGGCTGTGAGGAGAAACACAGGTTGTCAGTGATCTGGACAGCGGCATGTTCCTCCTCACAGCTGCCAGTGCCAGCCAGCAGCCTGCGTTGCCATAGCACCCGGGCGGCCTGCACGGCATCAGGGGGACCCCTTTGTTCCTCGTCCTGGCCGGGCCCCCCTGGGCCTTAATAGCGGCCGCCTGGGTTGCTATGGTGATAGTTCTGCCACTGTTTTGAAGGCACTGGCTTTTAACCGCGCTCTGAAAAGTGATCCACCATGGAGGTCAGCAGGTAAAAGACAGCCGCAGGGGTAAACAAGGCCTTATGCAATGCCAGAACACAGACCACAACCTGTATTCCAACACTCTTATTATAAGGTTGGAGTGCAGCAATACACATTCAGCCGAAGACTAAGGGCA